AATAATAATAATAATAATAATAATAATAATAATAATAATAAATTAAAATTAAACTATCTATTTTATCACTCAATTCCAAATGCCCCATTTACTTCATTAACTAATTACCATCTAACAAGACAATAAACAATCCAAAATTCAAGTGTTTAAATTGAATAGTGAAAAGCTAACCCCAAATCCTTCTTCACTATTTCCCTCTCTCAACACTCTTTAATCCACGTAGAACACTCAAAGAAAAAAGAGAAGAAACTCTACAATAAGTATGTGTTGCTTGCTCTACAATAATACAATCTATATAGTAATATCACAATTTTAATGATTGAGCACAATTTAGTGTCAGGCTTAAGAAACATGAAATGAGTAGTGTGCGTATCAACAACATGACTACTTGGATTGATTTACGTGCTAGTGAAAATTTTGTGAAATCTTTTATCGAAAGAAACAACGGAGGCTTTAACTTATTTGAAAATTTTGAGTTGATTTCCGAAAACATTTTTTGCTCATAAAAATATTATCGACAATTTTTTATTGTTACATATGCCGAAAGAAGTTTTTCAAAATTGAAGTTATTAAAATCTTATTTGCGATCTACATTTTACAAGAACGATTGAATTTCCTTTGATATCTATTGAATAAGATTTGTTAGAACATATTGAATACGAAAGTTTAATTAGTGAGTTTAGTTTTAGAAATACGAAGAAATATTTTTACTTGATTTGTTTCATCACAAGGTTTACACATTCTATTTAATGTTTCCGATTTCAAAAATTGCTCAAATGGAACTGCACAAAGAATTTAGTGGCTTGAATGGTTCTTTGTTGATGACATATGAATTTTGATGAAGCGCGGAATGATCTTTTGAGTTTTATTTATACTTTTCTTATCAGATGGAATTGGACAAAGAGTTTAATGGCTTGAATGACTAGCTTTGAAACATATTTTTTTTCGTAATATATTTTTTATTTTCGTGTTTCCCCCGTAGTAAAGTTTTACAATCACGGGACACCTAAAATTTCAGGGTTGGCCCTGTATGAAGATGGGGATGAAAGTGGAAGTGGTGACGATATTGCCGAGGCTAGGATCAATATGGTCGAAAATATTAGTGTCACTACGCCAAAAAACACAATTTGCAACACATAAAAAGCAATATTTGGTAGTTAAATATTGCAAAATGGATCTATCGCAACATTCTAATATGTGAACGTTGCCATTGCTTAACAAAACATTGCTTAACAAAATTGAGCTTTGTCAACATTTTTTAAGTGAATGTTGCTAATATTGCCTTTTCGCAACGTTTTTTAAGTGTTGCAAAAAAATTTTCACAGCGTTTTTTAAACGTTGCGGAAGACAAATCTTTTTTTAAACGTTGCGAAAGAGGCTTTTCACAATTTTTATTTTTATTTTTTATGATCTTTTTGCTACGTTTTTAAGAAAAAAGTTGCAAAAAATCCACGCTTCCTTTAAATAAAAAAGCCCTAACTTTTCCCCTCTCATCTCTCCCTATCCTCTCTTTTTCCCCTGCTCTTCAAAGCCCTCTCTTCTTCCCCCTACTCTTTGTAATCAAAGCCCTAACTTTTCGTGATTTTGCCCTCAGGGTGGAGGTAGCGGAGGCGGGAGAAAATGTTGTGTCGTCAAGAGCACGAGGGGTTGAAGAGTGGTGAGGGGTCATGGAATATGGCTTGGGATGCGCGATTGGCGCGCTGGTTACACCATCTTTCCACCACTCTCTGCATATAGTACAAGCGCGGTGAGTTTTTCGCAACGTTTAAAAAATGCTGCAAAAAAGTCTACAGCAACGTTTAAAAAACACTTCAAAAGAGTTTTTCGCAACGGTGAATAAACGTTGCAAAAAGTCTTTCCTCAACGGCAACAACGACCTCTGCAACACTTAGAAAAACGTTGCAAAAAGTCTTTTGCAGCGTTTTTTGGCCGCTGCAAAAGCCCTTTTTTGGTGTAGTGTGTTGATGAGGGCAATGGTCATTTTGATGAATTTGACTACTCTCTAGACAAAATGTCAATTACACCAAGAGTTCAAGCGCAAAATTTGGAGACAGACTACATGGATTTGGAAAAAAAAAACAGCGTTATCACATATATGCTTGAGTTAATTACAGAGTCATATCTCATAACCGAGTGATTAAGTTACACAATTTTGTCCGACCATCAAATATTATACATCTAACCCTTCAAACAAAACAGAACAATGGGACAACATACCATAGCAGACTCAAATGCATCGACAGTCGACAACTTGACATACTGTCTAGTCACATGAAAGCATAACACTTGTTGACGGAACACAGAATACATCTATGGAGAATATAAATCTTCTTCATTCCTGTTTAGCAAATATATTACACTCATAGTTATATCGTGAAAAGGACTGCCAGAAAATTCTAGAATATCAACCTGGAACCTGATTCCCATCTCCGGTTTTCATCTCCATTGGAAATGTAGGTCTTGGTTTCCTCAAACTTCTCTATAGGGATTCCACGGGCAATGTTTATTCTGCCTTTACTTGCCGATGGAACATGAGCGATTCCATGCTCTGATACCACTAATGGTGCGGCAGAATAAGCTGCAAAAAGACAAGTAGTAATGGAGGAAAAACCACACATGGTTGATTCAAGAAATTGAGTATGAGTCAGGAAAGGTGGAGAAGAAATCCAAGCCAATTCTCTATACATTGCTCTTTGTTAGAATGAGGGTGTTGTCCGAGTTTTATTTTGAAGATGATTGAGAATTCCAATTAAATTTGCGACTTAGCCCTTGTTTGATATTCAGCGTGTGTCTGGCCGCACTTAAAAGAGAAAATTGGACCGTTGATAAGGAGAAAATGGACCGTTGCCTTTCAATTATTCTGCAGGAACTCTGGCATGGCAGCTAGAACAAAAGGTCATTTCATGGCAAAATGACCTTTTTGCCATTAGCATTTAAATCATTTTGCATGAGTAAAGGGCATGCTCGACATTTGTTTTTAGGAAGTCAGAATTTGTTGGCAATCTGGGACCCATGTTGCAGTAGCAACGGTTCATTAATCGATTTGGCATTGGAAGGAAATCGCGGCCAGACACATGCTCATTATTTTCAAAATACATTTCCTCTCTAATTTTCAACTACACATTTTTTAATAAAATAATATTACACGCAAACCCAAATATTTTCCTTATATTTTAACCACACAATCTCCATCAAAATCACCATTCGAAGTCTATTTTGCAAATTTTAGTTAAAGTTCTATTTTAAAACTCTATTGAGAGTTAAAATTTGTGTTGAACTTGAAGAAATAAAGATAATGAAACTTTGGACATTCTATTTTATTTACAACTTTATTTCCAGGGTTTGGATTGTTCCCCATATATATTTGACTTTTCTCTAAAATTTAGCTGGGTTTATTTTACCCCGGTATAGGTCATTAACCTCATTATAAGTTGGTTCAACCTTATTGGATGTTTGTTTATCTCCATTATTAGTTAGACAAATTACAAACAAAAATCTTTTTATTTTTTCTCCATATTTTAATGAAATCTCCTTTACCCTGCAAATTATATTTTTCTTTTAAGTTTGTGATATTTACTTCTTATTGTACCTATAATTTCCTACTATCTTCAACAAATTGGTATCAAAGTTATCCAGCATCTTCCGCATTTCTCAACATACTGGTATCAGAGTATTCCAATTTAACACGTTTAGTCTCTATACATTTGTACCTCGTTTACGTCTATACTTTTTTGAAATAAATACTTATGCCCTGTTTGATACCTGACAATTTCCTTGGAAAATGAAAAATGTTTTCCATTTTCCAACTTCTTCATGGTTTGATTTGCAAAAATTTCCACTAATTTCCTTTTTCCACTTTTCTTCCACGCGCCTGACTTTCCAACTTTTCTATGAAATTATTTTCTTCTTGTTTTGACAGTTTTTGGTTTTCCAACCTTTAAAATTTTTTTTTTTTGGTAATTGGAACAAATGCTAGACTCAATGGTAAAAAAACCATCACTTTAATGGACAATTTTAATGAAAAAAAAGGTCAAACGGACACCAAACTTTAAACATTTTTCAAGTGGAAAATTATACAAATCAAACACAATTAATTACAATTCCCAATAAAACAATTTCTAAACAATTCAATTCCCCAAAATTTATTTTCTTTCCACTCATTTTCCCCATTTGCAATCAAACGGATCCTTAGTGTTTTCACATTTTGGAAGCACATATGGCAAATCAAATAAAAAGTGAGGTATAAAATTCATAGAAGGTTACAAGTTTTTCCACAACGAATTGAAATACGAAATTATATTGGCTAACCAAATCTACAATACTCCTGATATATGGAATTACGAGCTGTAAAATTAAATTACAGCACCCAAACTTACCTTGCAACATAAAGGATTGAATGTTTCAAAGCAGAGAATTGTAATTAATTTCTTATTCAGGTGATATTGAACACAGCAGAATCCCACTTTTCCACATTGTTGTAGCAACATCATAGAGTTTGAATTTGAATCCGTGACAAGTGTAGTTTATACACTTATTTCATGACCATAAATTATGATATTTTATTGTCTTTTGAATAAAATGTTATCTAATTTATATTATATTGTATTTTGTATCCACGGGAAGAAGAGAAAGAGGCCGGCAGGCACAGGAAAAAGAAAACGTGGCTGTTGTGTTTATATACACACACGTATATATGCATAGAAAGTAGAGGTTGACGCGGCAAAGATTATATATACTTACACACAGGAGAAAACAAAGAGAAAAGAAAAAGAAAAGAAAGAA